GCGCGCGCGCGCCTCCCCTCTCTCCCGTAGTCCGGTCTCCATAACACGGCTGCCGACTGCGCTGTATCTTGCTCGTCTAGGGACACCTGCTAGAACCAAACGATTTTCTTGAACAGCTTTACAGGTCATATTATCATGTTTATCAATTCGTATCAACGTGCAACATTTTAGGGTTGAATATCTTTCAATCCGACACCCATTTAAAATGTGCATTCCATACCAAGGAAAGTTTCACATTTTAAATTGAAGAGCAAAAAACAAGTTGCGTGTACATGACATGACACGTAAAACGTTTCGCACTACATTGATTCACCCTGTGTGTCATAAATTTGACGAAATTATTTTCGTTTGGTCCATTGCATCTGGGTGAGTGGAGGTATATCTAGGTCATCCATCCCCCAGTAATTTGTTTGAATCGCAATTCGTTATGATATCTAAACCCACAGTTTGTTTAAACGAGAGAGAAATTGTATTTCTCCTAAAATAAAGTCAGTTGTGTCTTGAGCATCGTTTTGCACGGTGCACCCGCCCCCCTTCCTCCCCCCAGGTGGCACGCCGCCGCTGCACTACTCTTCCCGTTTTACGACTCGGTGTATAAATATATTTTTGCGAGCGACGCTATGGTGTTGGTACAAGTTCGCGCGCGGCCGCGGCTGACTCAAGGCTGCGAGTCTTGGCAGCGGACACCGACTTCCTGAGAGAGAGAGAGAGAGAGAGAGAGAGAGAGAGAGAGAGAGAGAGAGAGAGATTTTTGCCGTAGGAAAGGGGGGGGGGGTGCGAGGCGTGATAGCGTGGCTGTTTGACCTCCCCTCCCCCACTCGCCCAGCCCTGGCCTAGCCCTAGCCGAGAGGGCACAGACCAACCAGACAAGTTATCATACGGGCCTGGCTGCAGCCGACGTGTGGTGTGGCGGGGTGGCGGGGTGCGGCGGGGCAGGTGAAGTGGCTCAGAGTGGGGTCTCGTCTGCCGGCTCGCCTCGCGCTGCGCACATAGCAGCCCGGCCGCGGCGAATGCAAAGTTTTGTTGGTGTATCGTCATCGAAACGGAAGTTGTCGCGGAACTGATTGCTGTTTTACTTGTTCTCCTCATTCTGATTGTGGTTGAGGACTTTTGGATTAAAACAAAATGGCGGAAACACAGTGTAAACTGGTAACAAACTATAAAAATACAACAGACAAAGAAAAAGATGTTTGGAATACAAGACATTCAATATTTTGGATGCAAAAGTCTTAACACTTAAAAATAACATTAAATCTAAAATAATGCCTCAGAACTGTTCATGCGGGTTGACTTACCGCAATCCCTCCAGCCTTATTTAAACGGCATTTGTACCCCAAGGAAGGTAGGTCGGTCTATACAGAGCGTCCCCTTTGTTTTGGGACGTAAGTATGAGAAATCATTTGGCTAAAAATGAGGCTTGAGTCCAATGTGCAAAACGCGGTTTGGCGCTTTTTGACAAGTACAGGCTCGAGCTGGAGAGGCAAAAGGGACTAGAATTGGTTTGAAAAGCGCACTGGCACACCTACTCACACTCACTCTTCCTCACGCTCTCTCACTCACTCACTCACTCACCCACCCATCCAATCACACAGGCTCGTGCGGTGGCCTTTGACTCGTCAGCGCTTTGTTGACGTCTTATCACAGTGCACACGCTTGCTGGCGCGCCCGCCTGCTGCAGGCCGTCGACGCCCGGGTGAGGTGGCCCGGGGGGGTTTCTGGAGGCCCCGCGTCAAGCAAGCACCCCGCTGCCGTCCGGGCGGATGGCCTCCGACCTGCAATGATAAGAGTAGAGATCGTTAGGAGGTCCGACGGCTTCGATACGGTTGAGGAATAAGAGACACACGCTAACAATGAGATAAGCACACGATGTATTCTGACTAGAGAGGACATACATCACAAAGCTGTACAAAACTTATCTCAGCCACTCTTACGATGTTTCCCCCTTTTTTTAGATTTTTACTTTTTGGCGATAAACTTCAAAACGTCAATTTCCCAGCTTTCAGTACGGTCTTTTCCTGTCGCCAAACCCTGTTGTCCCTTCTCCCGCGCCTTTGTTTGCTCCACGCGTCCCCGAATCTTATCTGCCAGTGATTCTGCCCCGCACTCACCTGCTCGTCCACCTCTGAGATTCGCGTGCCGTTGTACATCACAGCCATGTTGGTGCGGCGGTGCCCACCCCCGCCGCCGTCAGGCGCGCCCGCAGTGGCGCTCGTCCCAGCCGTTGGCGCACTGGGCCACGCCGTCGCAGCGCCGGCCGCACGTCACGTTGTGGAAGGGCCTGGGCATGCCAAGCTCGCGCGCCGGGGACGGCCGGCCGCAGGACAGGTCCTCCACGGGCCCGCGGCCCCTGGTCCAGCCGACGGTCCAGCTGGGGCTCCAGCCGTCCAGCGGCCGGTCGGCGCCCGGGCTCCACGCCCCCGCCGCCTCGGGGCCCTCGCCGCACCGCGAGCACAGCCGCTCGTCGCCGCCGTCCTCGCACTCAGCCTGCGCACAACCACAACGTATGAGCATCCTCACTCAAAATCACGAACTGGAAACATCTTCAATAATGCACAATCAAGCTAACTTTTGTACGGTTTTAGTTACTATAGGATACTAGAACAGAACTTAATGTGAGTTTTACGCTATCAGAACACCACTGATTTCTTCGATTTTGGCGGTAAAATTTTGTGCTCTAAGGAAAAGCCGACAGTTTGTTGGAACGAGCCGTTTTTGCCCGGTGACGTGTGTGATGCTATACTCACGATGCCGTTGCAGCGCCAGACGCAGCCCGCCGGCTGCGGGTCCTGCTTGGAGGAGCACAGCCGCACGCAGCGGCCGGCGCACAGCACGGCGCCGCCCCGGCAGTGCGGGCACGGCGCCTCGTCGCGCTCGTCCTCGCACTCCACCACGCCGTCGCAGCGCCGCGCGCACCGGCCCCCGCACAGCAGGCTGCCGGGCCGGCACCACGCGCAGCCCGCCTCGTCAGAGCCGTCCGCGCAGTCGGGCTCGCCGTCGCACAGCGCGTCCGGCAGGAAGCACTTGGTCTGCGGAGAGGAAGACAGGAAGGGGATGAGTGACTTGCCTCACAAACTGCGACACTTGTGGAGTTCTACAGTACATTATGAAAACTAATCCCTTTCAGCGCTCGAACAGTGTCAAAACGAATTATTTCCATATCGAAATACCCATGAGTATCCATCCTGTGCCCAATACACCGCTACCCCCTGTTTTAGCCTATTGATTGGAAATCATCCTAAAAGTACGTCTGTTGTTACGAACTTGTCAAGTTCAGCCTGTGCAAGCTCTCATAGCGCCTGATAGGTAGGCAACATGTTGCCTGCAGTGCATGCGTGTCCTGCGGGGTGGCCTACCCTGAGTATCGCAGGCGCCGTGCTCCCGTAATTTGCGTATGAATCAGCGAGACCCTACTTACTTTCTGCACGATCCCCTAGTCTTAGCAAAATATAAACATCTCTTACTGGTTGTTATGATGGTTAGTTCCAGTTTAAGTCTTTGATAGAACTGATCGCCAAAATAAACAGGCGTCTAAAGACTCCCCATTGTGATCCCGCTCTTACCATGTACCTAAAGGAAATAGTCGTGACATACTGTAGTGTCACAAAAATGTAGACTGTCGCTTTGTTGTCACTGTCACACACACACACACACACACATCTCATCGGGCCGATTGGGAATTTTATTTGCCGGTAGCTATTACATTGAATAGAACGTAAATTCCGCCCCCTCCCTCTTATTTTCACTCTTGCCGTAAGGGTTACAAATGTGACATACATTGAAGCAAGCAGAATGTCTCCCGTCATAACAGTGACCTCTGCGTGCTACTCGACTATTGCCGGGCACCCCGTAGACACGACCTACAGCAGGGAGCGGGGCCACCGGGTGACGCTAACTACACGTGCTGAGCTACTTGTCACCTGAGATTGGCGGACGGAGCAAACCTACGTGGACTAGGCGTCACTAAGGAAAAGACCATAGCGGGCTCGTTAACTCTTCAAGGCGTCTAGCAAAGTGTTCAAAATGAAACTCAAGACGTCCCAGTCTCGCTTACTATGTAAATATTAATCTGAGAATACACTTTCCATTCGTCGACTTGTCAACCACTTAAGTTTGCAACGAACATACGTGTGTAAAAGTGACGGCCGAGTTCTCTCTGCGGTGGAGTCACAGCCTCCAAGGGCGTGTCGCTGCTGCTACGGCGCGTGACGCTGCAACCCTACCCCTTCACAAAGTGTCTCAGCCGCGGCCCGGCGGCGCGTCAGACGAGTCCACTGTTCCGCGCGCGCCACGGCGGCGCTCGCCACGTGTGTGTGTGTTTGGCGGCACTAACCTGGTTGCTGATCTCGCACTGGTGCATACCCGGGGGACACTTGATGGGCGCCTGGCCGTCCGCGGTGACCAGGGCGGCGACGAGCAGCGACAGCATCAGCGGCAGCAGCAGCGGCAGCGCCCGCCACCTCACCATGCCAGCGGCATCACACGACGACTGACTCGGGCGGCCCAGCGCACAGCTGTCCGCCGCGGGGCCCGCCGTGGGCCCGCCGCAGCGTGGGGCGGGCGGGGCGGGGCGGGGCAGGGCGAGCGGGGCGGCGAAAGACAGCCCCGCGACCACCGCACTGCACGCACTAACATTGTACCGTCAACACACAGCCTGTGCAACACCTGCCCGAGCGGCCGGGAGGAGAGGGGGGGCAGGAGCAGGGTGCCAAGGACATGAAGGCCACATGACGGTGGAGGGGTGGGACAGGGACGGCCGAGGTCCGCGCCAGGACTGGGCGACAGTGGATGGATGTGATTCGGATCCGAATTGGAAATCAACGCCGGCTGGTGGCAGACCACAGGATGTCTGCCATTGAATCTGTATACTGTGTGCTGTCAAAAAAGTGTCCAAGTTAGAGCTCAGTTTTGATCACACTCTTTCGCGGTGCCATCAAAACGGTTTGTCAATCATAGCTCACAGGGCGTGCCCCTCAATCTCCAGGTGAACTTCATAAGAGGGTGAGACAGAGTGAGAGAATGTGCCACATATGCCCCATCAGAGTTTTAATGATTTGATCTGCATGTGAAATGTGCCGGGTGTAACATGTGTAGAGGAAGTAAGGAGCGGATGGGAGGAGGTGCAGAAAACAAACGACCAGCACAGAAAGGCATCGGTGTACAGACACGACGAGGAGGGGGGCACGGCCGGGCCGTGAACGAAAGAGTGAGAGTGAAAGAAAAGGAGATGGGACCGACGAGAACGAGCGGGGGGGGGGGGGCGCTTTGCTTTCGCATCGGAAATAGACTTGGATCATCGCCATGGCCGCCGCTGGCCTCGCCGTCACCCTCTTATCTGGTGCGTCTCTTATCAGGGCCGCGTGCGAGCGTGGAGGGGGGAGGCGCAGGCGGCGGCTGGGACGAGGACAGGACTACGCTTACTCTCAGTCCGTTCGGCAGTCGTCACCTGAGCAGACAATGCGTTGGGTACCCCTACGATGAGTCAAGCCCTATAACTATAGTCGCTCACGTGCGGTACGCTGTCGTCGGCTCCTATCCTAGGCCTCGGCGGGATCGTGTCTCTCAGCAGCCATTTTTGCTTCGCACGTGTCTGTTTTAGCGTCACTGGAAGGTCTGAGGGGCGCCGGGCTCCAGCCGGGCTCCAGTGGACCTGTGGGGCTCTCGACGCCTCCGAAGTGCAGTGTGCCGCCGGGGCTTAGACTCTGTGTATTTTTTTCCAGCCGAGTTTCTGCGGACGCGTCCCGGTATCCTCACGCCCTCCCTCCACCCCATGCAGCTAATCCTGAGAACTCTGGGAAGCCCCCCTCTACTTTAATATTCTCCATGTGTAGGTGCCGGGGGGCGGAGGTCCTTCGGCGTAGCCCTTCCCGAACTCCTCCGGCGGCGGAGGCCCCGCGTGGCCTCTCGGGGGGGCTCTGCAGACCGTGATGGGGCCCAGAGGAGGTTGGGGGTCAGGCCAACCCGATGAATCTATAAGGCTGGAGAGGCGTTCAAATGTTTTCCCACATCTGATCTTACCCGGTCTTTACACTGCAATGAACCCAACGCATGGAGATAATCCGATAGCCTGGCCAAATACGAGCGAGAGTTGGTCCGTCCCACACCATACACCTTCTTGCAATCGCAAGCCTCCTCCAGGCGCACTACCTGCTGGCCCCGCCACAACACTCCACTAACGTTTGATCGCTAGCCTGTAATCTCAAGTTCGTTGAACAAGGAGATTCCAGGGGATGCTGAGGCGAGAGGGTGGTAAACTTGCCGGCGCCAGCAGCCCCCTGTTTACGCGCTGGAGGGACCCTCGTGACTTCCAAAGTCCCCCGCCAACTTGGCGTGACCGCAGGCAGCTCCAGGGCTCCAGTACTGCAGGCCTGGAGGACCCGAATCACTCGAAACTCATTCGGTCTGGGCGGCGTGGGTTCCGGGCACCAGGGCGCTGCGCTCCCACCCCTCGATGAACTCGCTTGATTCTGTCGCCATTATATTCACTTCTGCGTTACTCGCAGAAACAACGGCCGCAACAAACCAAACGAATTACATCCGCCACAAAACTCGTGAATATTATTGGGGATGGGGCTCTTTTAATTAAACGAAGCGACGCACATCCATCGAGTCTGCAACGGTCTGGGTACAGCCCCATGCTGAAGAGGGCACGATACGCCTGCAGCCAGTGGGCATTTTGCACGTCCTAGAAACCACGGGACGCGCCTGTAGGTCGTCAAGAGAGGTCTAAGAGGTACTATAAGTTCCAATTGCTAACACTATGTACTGCACCAGTCGCCCGCTTCGCAGTGTACTCGGCCACCGGCAGGAGGAGCGGGTGACATCACGGCTGCTTGACCTTCCCGAGCGGCACCAGGAGCTCGATTGGCCCGGATGGTGTCGGGATGATGTCACCCCCGAGCCGGCGCGCGGGCCGCTCGTCCTGCGGGATCACTGCGCTTGTTGCTTATTCGAACTGTTTGGTTGCGGGCGAGTGCGAGTGACGGCCGGTGACAGCGGCATCGGCGCACCATCGCCGAATGTCAAGGCGTACGGTACAGTATGCGGCGTGCGACAAACAGCACCGTCTGCTCCTGGCACTTCTCGCGTGGCGCCACTGCTGCGTGGAGGCACAAACAGTGAACGTTTTATTCTAATTTCTGCACTGCGGGAGAAGTTGTGACGTTAGACAGGTGCAGCGGCGGGCGGAGGTACCGCTGTTTGAGGCTGTGGCCTGGCGCCATGTAATATTCATGCGTGCCACCTAATGACGAGGACGCTTGAGCTACGAGAGAGAGAGAGAGAGAGAGAGAGAGAGAGAGAGAGAGAGAGATGCGCACGCAGCTGTATTGCAGCAGTAAAGCGCTCTGGCGCGCTGGCGGCGCCCGGCGACTAGGCCACCCCTCCTGCCGCGGGGTGGGGCAGCAGGGCGTGGAGGAGGAGGATGCTGGCGCGGGAACTTTATATGGGCGACGAGACATAAGGAGACTTCCCCAATAACTTTCGTCCCGTCGAAGACTTTTCCGGGGATATTATGGAAGGGCAGGGGACGGACCAGGCCGGAGAGAGGTGGGCGCTGGCGGGTAGCGCCGGTACCTCGCTGCCAGTCAAATTCATTGCGTGCTGTACTGTACTATCATTTTGTATTTTACAAATGAGATATTCTTGCTATTGAATACTGCTGGCATTCGGACCTTCCTGAATAATTGTAGGGAGACGACTACTTTTATCTTAGAAAGACTGAAGGCGAAAATAATGCGAGAAAATAGCACGCCTTTCCATTTCGTTTTCCTTCTTTCCAAGCCAAGAATCGCCATTCTATCGACTTCAGTTTGTATTTAATGGCTTGCTGCTTAGTTCCTAAGAAACCGAATCCCCGCCTGGCGCTAATGGCCCTCGTGCGTGGCGCCCTGGCGCCCCTGAGTGGCGCTGGAGCCGTGGGGCGCCGGGCGGGGCGGGCGGGGCCAGGCGGGGCTCTGCTGATTTGATTTGGCCGCCCGAGTTAGGCCCTAGAGAGCCCGGCCGGTGCCGGTGGCGTGTGCCGGCGTCCTCTCTGCGCGCCCCGCTGCGGCCTTGCAGAGCTTTGTGCAGCGATTGAGTGGCGCTGTGACGCTGAAAAATGTCACGAAATTCACCGAAATGCAAACTTAAAAATGTTGTTTGTGAAATTCTCGCAACATTCGGAAAACTTCATTGAAATTTCCAAAATTCCTCCAAATATGTTGTTAAAATTCAACAAAAACTCTTGAAACCTAGAGTCCAAATGCACGCTGTGAACGTTGAGCTGAAAATTTACGACAGGAAAACTACTATACACACACAGGAATTGAAGCCATTTCCCTCTTGCATCTACACACCCGTCCATCTGCCAGCCCGCCCCGCCCAGGTACGTTCAGGAATCCGGTCGGAAGGTGCAGCCAGCCTGGCGACACTCACCGGACGGACGGCGGGCAGTCCTTTGACGGTCGCGTTCTCAGACCCATCGTATCGTGCTGACGCAACCACTTCGGGCTGGATATCCGTCAGTATCCGCCACCGACAACGTTGTTCGCACTGCGCAGTGCGCATTCCGTAGTCGGGTTTAGAGGAACTAGTCAGAGTTTCAGGATAGGGAACACGCCGCTGTCTAGGACTAAACTTGTGCAGCCTTTCTAAAAGCTGCGAAAATGTGGGCTGAAATTTAGCAAGCTCTCACTCGGTGCTGGAAGTATGGAATTCTTTAGCCGGAGCTGGCATTCTAAGCGATACGGGCCATATTGCAGTGCAGCATTTGTGTGAAGTTTGTGCGAGCCGCGAGTGTAGCGGGGGTGGTGCAGGGTGAGAGGGTGGGCCGCCCTCGAGAGGCGCGGCGCGGCTGCGGGCGCTGACCGCCGCTGCCACCGCCGCTGACCGCAACCCGACTGCTGCAGCGCGCTGCACGCCGGCGCTTTGAAGTGCGCGCGCGGATTTTCACTTGATGCCTCACGCTACTATAATCCTGCTGCTCCAGAGCGGGTGGGCAGAATAGAGGGTTTGGAGGAGGGAAGGGGGGCGGGGCGCTAGGAACCCACATCTAGTTTCCCGGATGCCGGTGCATGTTATCTTGCGCGCTTCCCCATCGGTCCCCGCTTCTATGATTCGCGCTCCTTCCTCCTGCTTCCACGTGCTTCGCCTATCGCTCTTGGCGTCGACCCGAGACCATGGCAAGGGCAAACACCACCAAACACGTAGATTACAACTCCTTTTTATTAAAATTTAAATTTTGTACATCAACGTCACGCTGCTGTGCTGGCGTGCGGTGCGGTGACCATT